TCTGCCCCCCCCATCCCTTTATTCATTTACGATTCCATTTTATTTGTTAAGTGTGGCTGAGTGATTAGAACAGTGAACTTGTAATCTGGTGGTCCCTCATTCAAGCCCTCCACCCTGCTACTCATTGGATTTGTTTTCAGTTGCCCCAAGTTAAACTCTTTAGTTTCCTTTTGTATATAACCAACTAGTCTGCATCCTGCCAGTTGGGATTTTTAAACAATATGTTTTTACATTCATCTATTTGTATTGACCCTGAAAAGCCCCATTGGGGGAGTGGTCTACATAGTTACATACATACAACCACATGCATACAATGTTTTATAATGTACCTCATCAAAACCCAGCTTTCCAGGAGGGGGATATTGAACAGTAATATGTGAACTAACAGGCATCAATTCCTCGGGATGATCAACTGAATCATAAAATGAGAATTTTTACACTTTTCTCTGGAAGAGTAATCACTTGTGTCTCCCACTGACCCACTTCTTCAATCAACCTGCAAAATACTTCAGCAACATGGCAAGCAATGGTACTTGTTAAAAATATCAAAACTGAAATGTATTAAGGAACTGCACTCAAGTAACTCCATTCGATTAGTGTTCCCAATCAAAATGGTTGTTTCCAAGATAATGCATCAAAGCTGTTAAACTATTTACCATAGTTTATTAGAAACTGTTAAGATCATGGAACCTTTTTAAGACTTTTTATGTAGTAGATTACAAAGCAATTAAATAATTTTTCTGTAATTTCAAACCTGTTAGTCCTGCTATTACTTTTAATTGTATTGCATAATCTTTTCTAGGATTATTTTTTCTTTTTGATTGCATAATGTCACTTATTTTCAATTTCAAATAGTGTAATTTAACAGGGAAAAGCCACTCTGTGGATCTGTTAAATCAACCATACTTATTATTATTAGAATATAAATATAAATTATTTACCAAACCACTCAAGCTTTACATGAGTAAAATGAACCTTCATGTCTTCCAGGGTGCTATTGGCATCTGCAGGGCTTAACATATACCCATACACCTCTTTATTTAAGAGGTTCAAGTTTATTCCTGTAAAAATAAAAACACCCTCATGAAAAGACAAAATTACAGTAGAACCCTGCTAACTAGAGCTCCCAAAGGAAATTATATATATAGTTTAAGTAAAAGGGGGGTTGAAGTTAACAACAGCAGATGACTGAAAAATGGGGTCAAGGGAAATCAGATCTCGTTTGAGGTTACTGGCTGGGGGTTCAAGTCAACCAAGATTGAGTTAATGTGCTTCTACTGTACTTAAAACCTATGTATTTCGCATTCTTAAACACAACCAGGGTTTTCCTTTTCAGACAGTGACCCATAACATCTATTGCCTGTATTTGTTTCTCTCTGGCAAAATTTTTACAGCCTGAGCTAATTTTAATTCTGATGTGGGGGACATTTACTCTGTTACTTTGCTCAATACTTATGCTGGAAACCCTGCAATGTAAATTGATGATGGAAGTACCCTACAAGTGTAACATACTAGTAATATTAATGTTTACTAGTACTGGCTGCGAAATGGTACCTGGCTGGCTGCCAGCTCTTAGAAACAGTCTTGGTAATACTTTGAGGCAGAAGGGTAATATTACCATATTAATAATAGATTTAATTTTTAAACCATTGCTAACCTGCTTCCCTTGCAGAATGTGCAAACACAAGAATGTCGTCCTCTTCTCCATGGTAACTTGATAAAGGGGGATTATATCTCAACTGATCACTTATAGTCTTCCTTAAATCTATCAGCATGGTGGAGTGAATCATTGGCACTTCAAAGCAACCCTTTTCCTCTCGTTGAAGCATTGGAAAGTAGTTGTCAGACCTAGCATAGTACCCCTACAAAAGAAAAATATTCAATAAGGTAGGTAAATATATCCATCTTTAAATCAATTCCTAATTAAAGAGAAGACCTTTAATAAAAATTTAGCTGCTCAAGTGACCAGATTGAGCCGCTTGAGTCTAAAATGTAGATGTGTGACATTAAATTTTAGACCAAAAGGTAAACCAATTCGAGACTCAATCTTCCACCAGGACAAAAAAAAAAGTCACTCAGCTAATCAGGATGAAAAAAATTACATAAACAGATACAACTTTTGTGCATGCATGTGTGTGTGTGTTTTGTCTTTTTCATGTGAATGTGTGTTTGTATATGTGGAGAAAGCTCTCGCAAAAGTTTTAAAGTTTCTGGACAAGACTGCATGGCTTAGAAGAAAGGGTAGTTCACTGTTGCTTGAATAAAGTTTTCATTTATTAAACCCAGTGAAAGCAGATAGATTAAGTATACATAATCAGACTCTCATTTCCTCAACAGCAAAAAAATCATATGCATATGCTTGTATCTCACTGTGGGTGATGAAAATCTGTCTCAATCTATGGTGTATGACTTACATCTTCATCCATTCCACCCCAGAAGTTAGAATATGCAGCCTTTCCTCCAAAAACTTCAATCATTGGTGAAATAACAGTCCTTTGAAAGAGATAATGTTCAGAGGTAGTAGTCTAATCTCCACTATTTTCCCTCCATTAATGGAAGGGACAAGAAACTGACAGGATGGGCAGGCTAGCTAATTATAAGCTAGTAGTAACCATTGATAGGGATGGGTAACCAAATAAATCCTGACCTTTCAGTTTAAGGACAAGCCCTGGCAGCAAGGGTTTTCACTAGCTGCTTGCTTTTGAAGCTTGGGCTACTTTAATTAGACACAACATTTTAATACCTGTCTTAATCTAATATGAATTTCAACCCTTTGCAGGGTACAGTTTGCAGTCATCTCGCACATAAATTCAGTAAGGAATGTTATATAATATACACACTAACTTAACTTGGTCAACTTTTA